CTCTAGGATTGGGGATGTCCTGAAGTGTCTACAATAACAAACAAAAGAGGGCGCACCAGCCTAGTGCATTATCCTACAGTATTTATCAAAAACTATCATAAATTATATTCACACACACATATGAAAAAAAATTGCTTATCAAGCCACTTGTCCATAGCCCAGTAGTCCTGGACTCGGTAGTCTCCAGAGTACAGGGGGACCTCACCAGGATCCCAACTGGCTGATGCATTTCGAAGGCATTCCCTTACCAAAGGTTTGGCTCTGATGAAGAAGGTAATGCTAACTTATTCTCTTAGGGTCAAAGCTTTGAACAGATTCTTCTCAGATTGCCTAACTATGAGTTATATAAACCTGACATCATAGCTGTGGTCCAAGGCTGCAGATGCCCATTCAAACTTATCAAGAATTACTTCCTCCATCCTCCTTTTTTTTTCCTTTAATGTGAGTTTCTTTTTATTGATTTTTATGGAATAAATGTGCAATGATGCCTGTTTTGTGGTTCTTGCATTCCCTGTCTTGAGCCATATAGAATATTCATCCAGCCAGTGGGTCCTGTCAGTTGAGGATTGGTAGAGCCAGGGCTGTCGATAGGGGGGTATCACCGGCCTCCGGTAGGGGGCTCGAACAGCACAGGGATGATTACAGAATGATGCACTCTGCCTGCGTCTCTCCTTCAAGCAGCTGAAAGGCTTTTAGCTGCTACAGAGACACAGACAGTGCTTCATTCTGTAATCGTCCCTCCACCCTGCCACACATATCCCCCTCCCTGCACTGGCCACATCTGACCCCCCCCCGCCCCCGTGTGACTGGGCCCCCCAGGCTCTAATGTTAGCTGTGCTGAGTCTGTTACCTCTGTAAATTTGTTTATCTGCATACTCTGATCTTTCCCCTGCTCAGTCCTGTTGATTGTGCGTCCTTTAATCTCCCTGCAGTTTTTCCTTCCTGCACTCCTTGTCCCATCTCATCTTCCCTGTCTCTCTGATCTGGTCAAACTGCCCATCAGCTCACAGCTGATCAGCTGCATTCCCATGGAATGAAGAATTTACTGCCACATCATTCCATTGCTGCCTTCTATCTTCTCCCAGTGCAGCTTAGACTGCTTTATGTACCTGGGCTTCCAACTCCTCTGCCCCAGACTTCTTCATTTCAGTTCCCCACTATAAGCCTCTCATTCCTCTGACCTATGTAACTTTTCTTCTTCTCCCTTACACTGCCAGCTCCCTCTGCAAATCCATGTATTAATGCCTTCTATTTAACCATTTACTAACTGTTCTGGTTAAAGCAGTAGTAAACTTGTTTTTTTTTCTTGTACCTACAGATAAACCTATAAAAAGGGCTTGCCTCTAGGTACAATGAATATCTCCTAACTGTGCACCACTTAGGAGATATTTACATGTGTAGCATGTAATGTCACCGGTGCTTTCAACGCACTATGCATGTCATCCATTGAGAGAGCTGTGCTGAAACTGTGACTACCGTGCGCATATGTGAGATTGACATCAACGTGGCTTGGCCATTCAAACATCCAGAGCCCAAGAACCCGGAAGGAAGAATGAATGAAGATGGAATTCCTGTCAGTGGTGACAACGTGCCACTGGACTGACCTATATTTTAGGTAAGTCTATCATAATGATATTTTACCAAAGCCCATCACCTATTCCCAACAGGGTTGTTAACCACTTGCCCTCGTGAGAATTTACACCCCTTCCTGACCAGGCCCTTTTTTCGATACGGCGCTACGTTACTTTAACTGAAAATTGCAAAGTCATGCAATGCTGCACCCAAATGAAATTTATGTCATTACTTCCCACAAATAGAGCTTTCTTTCATTGATATTTGATCACCTGTGCATTTTTTATTTTTTGCGCTATAAACAAAAAAGATGGGCAATTTTGAAAAAAAAAAACAATGTTTTTGACTTTTTGCTATAAAACTTATCCAATAAAAAAATTTTAAAAATGTAATTTCTTCATAAATTTAGGCCAAAATGTATTATGCTACGTCTTTGCTAAAAAAAATCCCAGTATGTGTAAATTAATTGGTTTACATGAAAGTTATAACATCTACAAATGGAGGTACATAAACTGGAATTGTTTTTTTTTTATACTAGTAATGGCTGCGATCAGCGACTTACAGCGGGACTGCGGGACTGCGGGAATGCGTGACTGCGGCGGGCATTCTGACACTGGGTGGGAACTGATTAATTGTGACTGACATTCCCAGTGACACTAATACATTCATCAGTGCTAATAAAAAGCACTGATACTGTACTAATGACTCTGGACAAGAAGGGATTAACATCTGGTGATCAAAGGGTTAACTGTGTGCTGTGTGTGTTTTTACTGTGTGCTCCATGTTGTGTGTGTTTTAATAGGGAGACATGTTGTTTTGTATCTCTCTGCTGTGCAGAGAGATACAAAACAGCATGTCTATGCACTTTTGCATCAGGACAGTGAGGGAGATTTACTAAAACTGTGGGCAGCACAGTGGCTAAATGGCTAGCACTTCTGCCTTGCAGCACTAGGGTCGTTGGTTTGAATCCCAACCATGGCAACACCTGCCTGGAGTTTGCATGTTCTCCCTGTGCCTGCATGGGCTTCCTCCAGGTACTCTGGCTTCCTCCCACACTCCAAAGACATGCTAAGTTAATTGGATCTGGTCTAAATTGGCCCTAGTATGTGTATGTATGAATGTGAGTTAGGGACCTTAGATTTTACACCCCTTGAGGGTTAGGGACTGATGTGAATGTACAATATATATGTAAAGCGCTGCAAAAACTGATGGTGCTATATAAGTACCTGAAATAAATAAATAAAACTGGAGAGCACAAAATCTTGTGCATTTCGGCATAGAAACCAATTAGCTTCCAGGTTCTTTTTTGTCAAAGCTTAAATTAACAAGCTGAAGTAAAAAGATGATTGGCTACCATGCTCAGTTGCCCCAGATTCTGAGTGATCCAGCTTTAATAAATCTCCCCCACTGAGTGTTGTTTTGTAGAGTGGGGTGACATATGTGCTGAAACACATGACTGCTGATGAGCATAGGCCTGAATCCCAATTGACATTACCTTAACCTTGCCCCCCATCTAACAAAAACACATGTAGAACAATTTAGTTGGAAAAAAGGGCAAGGCCACAGCTTTATTTAAATTCAAATACGAACCAATTCAAATTAACCATTTTAACCAGTGCCAGTCACAGTTGTACTTTTACACATTTTAACATTAGGTTAAACAAGTCCAAAGGGATCGGTCCTTACCATACGTGCTGGACAGACATTAGACCTATTCCAACATTCCAATCAAGAGTATAGCCCATTATGGCAACTTTATCGCTGGCAAGGTCCAAAATCTGCCATAGAATCTGTGACACACCAACAATAGAGCGGGTGGGTGGGCAACACCTCCAAAACGCAGTTCTTGAAATGTCAAGGTTTTACTTCAGAACAGCATTATAAATGAGTTCAGGCCCCACCCCTTCACCTCAAGTCATCTGACCAATAGACTTTGACCAATTTACACAGTATGTGTAAGGGAATTCCTGTACGTCAACTGCAACATAGAAATACGCATGCACGCAATATCGCGCATGGAAATGAGCACAGGTGCATTGCTAATAGAAATGAGCATAGGCTCGCACATGCGTGCAAGCATTGTGCGCACACGGGAGCAAGCATGCGGGAGCGTGCCCACAGTTTCTGGCGCCAGACAGACTATTTAAAGGAGGCTCTTACTCTCTGTCAGTGCTGACTGGTCTTCAGCTAATTCCCTGTGTCCTGCTGTATCCTGTGTGTATCCGTTACTGACCTGGTTTGCCATTGACCTGCTCTTGGATGCTGTTTATGCTTCTGCTCATCGATTTCTAATCCTGGCTTCCTCCTGACCTTGTCCCTGTCTGATGTTCCGGTACTTCAACGCCTGCTCATTGCTGACCCTAGCTATTACTCTGACTACTCTCCAGTTTGGCTCTACAGTCCTGCTAAGTGTCTGTCCTGGCTATCCATTATATCAGCTCCGGTTGTCACGGTGTGTTCCAGACTCACGCTTATCAGAAGTTTCGGCAAGCCACGTACCCAGATCTTGCAGTTCCAGTGGAGTGTCTTCTTAACCTCAGCTGGTCATTCTGGCATCTCCTCTGTTCCTGACTGGATGCTCTGCTTGATTCACTGAGGCTACACCACCAGCCACAAGTTCTACAATCAATACCCACAGGCACTTGTGTTTCTCCTGTCCCTCGGCACCATCTGTTCCATCTTCAGTGGGTCCTGGGTTGGAGATACAAGAGAGGCTGACCTCGACATTTCAGACTTCTATCAGGTATGTGACAGCATGTGTATCCACACCCAATTTCAAGCCATGCCCCTATCAGTCAAGGCTCTCTTTCCCTATTAGGGTCAAGTAGCCCTCAGGAGCATAATATGCTTTCTTCTGTGGAACACTTTATGTGGACTTTGCACAGTAATATTAGAATTTTGTACTAAAGTGGCACTTAATTGTGTATTTGAGTAATATTTTTCACACAAAGGGGAGATAGTTGGTTTATTGATTTATTATATTAATTTCTGGTTTAATTTGTTATACATTTTTTACTGTTCACTGGATGGGGCAGCACAGTGACTAAATGGTTAGCACTTCTGTCAGGCAGTACTAGGGTTATTGGTTCAAATACCAACCACAGCACCACCTGGAGTTTGCATGTTCTCCCTGTGCTTGCGTGGGTTTACTCCACGTACTCCAGCTTCCTCCCACACTCCAAAGACAGTAGGCAAATGGGCTCCTCTCCAAATGTGCCCTAGCATGTGTATATATGAATGTAAGTTAGGGACCTTAGATTGTACACCCCTTGAGGGTTAGGTACTGATGTGAATGTACAATATATAGGTAAATTGATGGCGCTATATAAGTACCTGAAATAATAATAATAATGTGCTTTAACCACTTGCCGTCTGGCCACTGTATATAAACAGCCGGACGGTGGCAGACCAGGGGTGGGTTGCCGTTCATAAACGGCACCCGCCATTTTGGACTGGGAGCACGCAGCACTGCGATGCAGTGCCTGCTGTGTCCGGAGGACACAGCGGAACACTGATTGTTGTACGGGACCTCTGTGCAAGGTCCCGATCATGTGATCACTGATTCGCCAATCAGTGATCACATGCAGAGTAGTAAGCAAGATGTCACTTCTGACATCATTGCTTACTACGTGTGAAATCTGTGAATGATCACAGAGGTCACATGGTACAAGGCTATTCACAGCAGCCTTGTACCATGTGACAAGCTGTGACCAATCACAGCTCACACAGTATTCCTCAATGGCTGCAGGAATGTAGCCAGAGAGAATGAGAAATGATTGCTTTTACTCCTTTATGGGTATAAAAGCAATCAGTGTAAAAAAAGAAAAAAAGATCTTTATCACCCCCCACAAGTAATACAGTGTCACCATGGTGACACTGTACTGCTAGGGTGACAGTATGTAGAAAAAAAAAAACATTATAATAATGTAAAAAAATAAAATAAAAATGTAATTTTTTTTTTTTAAATGATAATTTTTGGTTATAAACTAATATGGGTTTTTTTTTTACTAAAAGGATAACTGAATACATTTTGGCCAAGATGTATGATGAAATATTATTTATTTGCTAAATTTTATAAGAAAATTTTTGGACTTTTTCATTTATATAGCAAAAAAAATAAAAATCCCAGGGGTGAATAAATACCACCAAAATAAAGCTTTATCTGTCTCAAAATAAATGCTAAAAAATTCATATGGGTACAGTGTTGCATGACCGCGCAATAATCTTTCAAAGTGTGATAGCGCTGAAAGCTGAAAATTGGCCTGGACAGGAAGGGGGTAAAAGTGTCCAGACTTGAAGTGGTTAAAGTGGGGAGCACAGTCAGAGCAGCAGCTGGGATACATATTGGTCCATAGTACAGTTGATATTGTACCATTAGTACTGTACCTTAGAGCCTGAAGTGTATTACTGTACTACATGAAAAGCCAATGACATGCTCAAGCTATTATTGCCTGCCTGGAGGGATTGTTGCAGTATATGCACAGGTGATTAGTGTTTGGTTTCTGCACAAAATCTATTTATGTAAAATATAGTGCAACATAATATCATTGATTTACTAAAGCTCCATTCACACTGAGCCAAACGTTTTTTTAGGCATTTTTTAAAGCATTTTTTGCAGGCGTCTTTGAGTGTTTTTTTTGAGCAAATTTGCAAATATTATAGGCGTTTTTCATTTAGGTGTTTTCCTGTGGCCAATAGAAATAAAAATAGCTGCTGTTTGAGCTGAACATGCCTGAAAAAAACACTTGAAAAAAATGCTTGAAAAAACGCTCATTCCCACTGTTCAGTCATTTTCCATTCAAGTCTATGTGGACAAAATGCCCAGATCTGCCTGAAAAGTAGCGCAAGTACTTTTTTGTTTTGGTATAGGCGATAAAATGCTCATATGTAAGTAAGGGCCATAGAAATGAATTGGGTTTTGCTTGTTGAGCGTCTCTGTGCGGCAGGCATCAACCTGAAAAACGACCTAGTGTGAATGGAGCCTTAAGACAAATAGGCTGTTTACTTTGCAAGGAAAGTTGAACTTTTGCAAGAGAATTTTCCCTTGGAAGTGAATGTGGTGAAATTTAACTTTGCAAAAATACCTAACCGTATGCAAGGACCGATTAACAACTGCATTTTTAAATGCGCAGGATTTGATGATGGAAAGCAGCAGACCTTCATTTCATTTCCTAAGGTCTGGGGAAAATTCCTAATGTGTTAAATTAAAGACGTATGCAGCTGAAACAAGAATTTAGACCTATGCTGTCTTACAGCACTATTGCTCAAATGTCTTAGTTGTCATTTTGTCTTCCTCTTTCTCCTTCATATCTCTCCGCTCTCCTCCCCCCATCCAGGGATGCTTGAAATATCCAAATATATGCCTAAGTACTGAAAGTATATCTTTCCATAGACATGATAAACCAAATAAAAAAAGTGATTTTTTTTTTTTTTTTTGCAACAGTTGTGATTGGATGCTTCCTCCCAAATGCATTTTCTTCACATCAGAAAAATCATATATATCTGTCATCATTTTCTTGATTTAAGAAAATATGCATCCTAAATGGAGGTTTTGTACCCCAGAGATTGATACCATTTTGTACTGAGAGAACTAATATCCTTCAATTGTAAAATAAAAAGATTGCTGCTTGAACAGTTCTTTAACAATGCTTGTATTAAGCTGTGAGGCCATTGGAGGCAATGTGTTAGAATACTCCATAATACTTTCTATAGAAACTGTGATATCTTCAAATATCCTTTCTACTTTCAATACACAGATGCATTTAACGCAGACAATGGAACTCCAACAATGTGAATTTTCTGACTTCTCAAACAGCTTCTTCGTAGCTGATGCTAGTCACATATTCTGTGTGTTTGTTAAACTTCTCTCGGTGTGCAAACAGCATAAATAACTGAATATTGCGGAACAATGTGCCTATCTGCCGTCTAATCATAACTCAATTGTTAGATATAAAGAATTAAACACAAATATCTTATGTAAGTCCTTCAATTTCAAACGTGTTAAATAATTCAAAAGTCTACACAAAAAACTTAAATATGAAATCTGTTACTAGAAAAAGGGAACAAAAGTCCCAAGCTGTCTCTGAGATTAACAAAAGCTGATAAGTGAAGAAAATGGTACAAATGTGTATTTGTAACAGTCATGATAGCTCTGTATCGCAGTTTGCAGCCATATTTGTGACAATATATAATAAATGGGCAAATCACAAATAACTGTAAATTTTCTTTATTCTGCACGACGTGGAAAAACAAAAAATATGTAGCTGACCTATACCAGACATTTCAGTACATTAAAACATAGCATGCCTCATTTACCAGGGTCTTCAATAAGTGTGGCCCATGGCAACCAACATCATTTTCAATTATAAAGCTTCACTAGTAAAATGACAGTTGGAATCAGATAGGGTGCTATGAGAAACACACACACCCTTTTTTCAAGTTCAATATCTCTTAAGTAACTGGTAATAGTAACTAATATTACTAAGCAGAAATGATCTTGTATTTGATGTTAGTATAGTGTACTGCAATCAGTTTTCTAATGGTCACTGTGCTCTGATTATCAGCTTAGCTCTCTGTGATGCCTTATCAGTGCATGTGTCTAAAGAAAGACAACGTTTTCGTAACATAATATTGAAAAGAATATTCACACAATTTATTGTGGGGATAGTTTCTACTTCATTAGTAAATCAGTTTTAAAGTGATAAGGATCACTAAGATGGCCTACTATCATTATTTATTAAGGCATACATAGAAACATAGAAAAGTAACGGCAGAAAAAGACCATGGAGTGGTCCATTGAGTCTGCTTGTTAGCAGATGTCGAATCTGCTATTGACTGTTGACTGGCCCACTACCTCTGCTGGAAGGTTATTCCAAGCATCAACTACTCTTTCAGTAAAATAGACTTTGTGAGATTAGTTTTGAAATATCCTCCAGTTAGTTTAAGGTCATGTCCCCTTGTTTTTGATTTTGGTTTCATGTTGAAAATACTGTCCTCCTGAACCTTTGATGTATTTAAAGGTTTCAATGATGTCTCCCCTTTCCCTTCTTTTCTCCAGACTGTACAAGTTCCTGAAGTCGCTCTTGATTTGTTTTATCCCCCAGACCTTTCACTATTTTTGTTACCCATCTCTGGACTCCTTCTATCTTATCAATATCTGTTTGGAAAGTGAGGTCTCCAGAACTGGGCACAGTATTCTAAATGAGGTCTCCAAAAGATGAACGAACGAAACCAGCGCTTCAGTCTTCATACAACCAAGGCGATGCCAAAATGCCAACCGAAGAGGTGCTGCCCTTTTAAGATCGGGAAATCTGACCACTAGTGGAAAAGAACAAACAAGGACGCACTCTCATCGTGCATTAAATGAGGTCTATCTAAAGATTTATATAGGAGAATCAGGACTTCCTTCCTCCTGCTGATGACCGCTCTAATGATGCATCCTAGAATTCTATTTGCTTTCCCCACTGCCTGGCCACACTGTTTGCTCATTTTGCAATAATCTGAAATAAGTACCTCCAAGTCCTTTTCCTCTGAAGTGCTGGCTAACAATGTATCCTCTATGTTGTACTCTCTCAAGGGATTCTTTTTCCCTAGGTGCATTATTTTACATTTAGAAACATTGAACTGCAGTTTCCACTTTTTTGACTAATCTTCCAGCAATGCCAAATCATGTTCCATGTTCCAAACATCTCTAGGGATATCAACCCTATTGCACACCTTTCTGTCATCAGCAAAAAGACATACCTTACCCAACAAACCTTTAGTTATATCACTTACATATTGATTAAATAGAACAGGACCTAGTACAGAGTCTTGTGGTACACCACTAGTGACTGGTCTCTTTTCTGAGTGAACACCATTTACAACCACACTCCTGGTATCTATCCTTTAGCCAGTAGCATACCCACTGAACCACCAAGGGCTAAGTCCTAGCTTGTACAACTTTTGTATTAGATCATTATGTGGAACTGTATCAAATGCCTTGCTGAAATCAAGATATGCTATGTCCACAGCACCACCCTGTTCCAAAATATTGGTAATATAGTCAAAAAATCCCATCAGATTAGTCTGACATGATATGCTCTCAGTAAAGCCATGCTGCATTTGATTCATCAAGTTGTGTGTTTTTAAGTGATCAATGTTCCTTCTTTTCAGGAGTGATTCCATTAACTTGACTACAATATTAGCTGTCCGCCAGTCATGGGAAACTTCTCCTGTTAGAAGACATTGATTAAAAAGATCAGTTAATGGTCCAACAACTCTGGGATGAATACCATCAGGGCCCATTGCTTTATTAATCTTTAACTGAGCCAGTTCCTCTACTACCTCTGTCTCCGAAAATCCTAAAAATGATCTATCATTACTAGAACCCATATGATTTCCCAACATATTATTGTTAGTATAATTTTTTTTTCTGAGAAGACTGAACAAAAGTGGTTTGCTACATCCAGTTCTCCCTCAACATAAGTGTTATTCGTATTTCTGTGCTTTGGCAGTGCTGACAATGTGTTTGGCCTCCTTTTGTCTATTCTTATCCTCCTCTCTGTCAGCTACACCTCCTGATTTCTTGAATCTCCTATATGCTGATTTTTTTTTTTCTTTTCTATCCTACTTATCTCTTTAGTGAACCATATTGTTTTTTTAATTCTGTTTATTCTTGCTAACTTGCCTGACATATAATCTAGTTGCCTCCAGGATAGTAGACTTTAACAGTGCCCACTAATTACTTATTTCTGTCGTTTTACTCCAACCTTTCAATTCATTTTTTAGAAATTCACTCATT